TCGGGTTTGGTTTTTTATCCATGTGGTGGCAAAGAGCAAATCGATGCCGTGTAGTGAGTGACATTCTCAGACATTGTACTCACCCCGTCAGTTCACATGTCGAGCTGGTGTGTGATCAGACAATTGTGCAGCAAGTGTACCTAAACTATGTCTCTGAAAAATGAACATTTAGACGCACTCAGTGGCGGGGCGCCATTGGTGCAATTGGTGCAAGCGCTCCACCTGACCCTGGCCTTCACAGCCCCCACTGAACGCACTCATTGTCCTAGCTTCTGTCTTACTTTTTCTCGATAATAACGTTGTAAGTCAGAACTAATTTTGCTTTCCATTGCTTGGGTGTCCGTGTTGTGGTGAAAATGTGAAAAAAGAAAAGAAATATGTTTAAATTTGTCTACACATATCAGGGTAGACAACACAATACAGCATTTGAATGAAATGACTCAAAGATTTGAATCCGAATTATGGCCATTACACATAATTCCATCTTTATTCTCTTTTTAAAAACATTTTTCTCATAACGAACTCAAAGTAAATAAAATCCTGTATTTATCTGACCCCTACTAGTTACCGCCTCTGCGTGTTAACGGGAACTAAACCCCTTCTCAAATTCACAAAACTCCGTCCCTCTCGAAAATCCCCCCGCCTTCTTGCTTAATCTGTCAAAACAAACCTACTCAATGTATAACTACAGCCTGGTGGTACGGGTGTCTGTGGTGTGCTGGTTCGACGCTTCGCAGACTCACCCAAAAGGTCGTAGTTCGGTTCTCGTGTTGTTGATTTATATATATATATTATTATTAACTAATCTATTAATGGCCTTGAACTCACCTTAGTATTGAATACGTTATTACGTAAGTTGGTTTTCCTTTTTACCTGATTAATCTCAGAGGTTTTATCATTATTCTGATATGAATAACTTAGTGCCCAAGCATGATACTCCTTTACTTAAAAATGTCTTTATTTGCCTGTTCCTTCACTTTCTGGAATACGTGAAGCTTTTTCTGTCTCTGTCACTGTCTCTCTGTCTTTGTCCGTC